GAGGAGAATGAGCAAGATGAGGAAATGGAGGAGGATGATGAGGATGATGATGATGATGATGATGATGATGATGATGAGGAGGAGGAGGAGGAGGAGGAGGAGGAGGAGGAGGAGAAGGTGGAGGATCGAGGTGGATATGGCCGACGAGTGGGTGGAGGAGTACCGGTGATCGAGGATTGTGGAGGAGGTGGAGGAGAAGAAGAGGTGGAGGAGCAGAGGTGTTGACCGAGGAGGAGGAGGAGAAGGAGAAGGAGGAGGAGCAGGAGGGAGGGAAGGAGAAGGAGAGAGGAGGAGGAGGAGCAGGAGGAGGAGGAGGGGGAGAAGAAGGATGGGGGAGGAGGAGGAGGAGGAGGAGGAGGAGGAGGAGGAGGAGGAGGAGGGGGAGGAGGAGGAGGAGAAGGAGGAGAATGACTACGCAGTTCAAACCCAAAACGCATCAACGATGAGGCAATAAACCCCCCTCCGAGTTCCCTCTTCACAGGTCCTTTCAAGAGTTTATTTTCATGGCGGCGAGTGCCCCATTGGAAGTCAATTGTTTGAGAATCCTCAAGTGTGCCAGAACACCATCCCTGTGACTTCAGCGCTGCGAGTCAACGTGACTGTCGCGACCTGATATTCCTGAATCGTGTAGGAACGTCATTCCTGGAATTTCAACACCGCGAATCAAGTTGACTGTTGCGCCCTGACAGTCGGAAAACGCACAATAACGCAATTCCTGGGATTTTAACCACACGAGCCCTTAACTGTTACAGAACTCAAGGCGTGTGCCCGCGGCGTTCAGGCGAGAGCCACATCTTGAAAACGAGCCGCTCTGCATCCTTGAAGCTGTGGCAAACTCTTGAGATGGATGTGCGCGGCGTTCAGGCGCGAGCCACCTTTTGAAAAGGAGCCGCTCTGCATCCTTGAAGCTGTGGCGAACTTTTGAGCTGGATGTGCGCGGCGCTAGGCGCGAGCCACATTTTGAAAATGAGCCGCTATCCATCTTTGAAGCTGTGGCAAACTTTGAAGCGGATATGTGTGGTGCTAGAGCGAGAGCCAGTTTCTGGAGAACACCTGCCCTCTATCTCTGAAGTTTGCTGCAATCTTTTGAGACGACTGTGCGCGGCGCGAAGGCGACAACCGCATTTTGAAGAGGACCTGCCCTCCATCCGTGAAACTGTTGGTAAATCCGAAGCTTCAGAGGATCATCAGTGGTGCGGACGTCTCAGGCGAAACGCCCAGTCCAGCTATCGACACGTCATGCGGGTGCGACAGGGGAGGGGGGTAAGTTGTTTATGAAGGAATGGGATGGAGGAGGAGGAGGAGGAGGAGGAGGAGGAGGAGGAGGAGCGGGGAACGAGGTCTTGGGCAGTTCTTGGCTCCTGGGGCGTCCTCGTGGCCACGACTGGATCCGCCTCGAGATCATGGCCAGAGGGCACTCGGACAGTGTTCACGGGGCCTTTTTTTTGTTTCGTGAGCGGTCCAGGCCCCCGGCGCAGCGATTCTTCTTGGCCGTGCACGTGCGCAGTTTGCCAGTCCGAGGCCTGTCTTCGTTCGAGCGCGCTGTGCCCTGTGCCCCACGCCGCTGCGACAACGAGCGCGTCGTCTTCCTAGATTCGGGCCTTTGGAGGCCCGCTCCAGGCCCAAGGACCATCAGCGAACGGCGCGGGACGAACAACTCACCATGGGGTGGGGTCGGGAGGTTCACGGTCAGGATTTTTTGCGCAGCGCGCGTAGCGGTTCGCTCTGCCAGTGTTCGCTCATCACGCTCGGCGCGACTCGCTGAGCACGTCCCGATTCCCCAAAGGCGTTCCGAGGTTTCTCCCGCCCCTCGCCTCGCGGAGCAGAAGGCCCCGCCATCAGTGATGCCGATGCTGCTGCTGCGGCTGATGATGATGCTGATGATGATGATGAGGAGAAGGAGGAGGAGGAAGAGGATGACGAGGTTCTGGCAGAAGAGGGTTTTGATGGCCCCAGTGCTGATTGTGCTTTAGGAGCTCTACGGGGTCCTGGAGAGTTCATCCGGGGCCCCGCACGCTTTAGGCGATGATGATGCTGATGATGATGATGATGATCATAATGGGTGATGGTGCTGATGATGATGACGATGATAATTTTGATGATGGTGATGGTGATGATGATGCGGATGATGATGTTGATGATGATGATGGTGGTGGTGATGATGATAATGATGCTGATGGTGATGATGCTTTTGATTATCATGATGACAACGATTCTAATGGTGATGATGGTGCGGCTGTTGATGATTGTTATGTCGATACTGATTATGCTGATGATGATGAGGATTATGCTGTTGCTGATGATTATGCTGATGATGACGACGATTCTGCTGCTGCCGGTGACGATGCCCACGATGATGATGCTGCTGCTGATGATGATCATGATAATGACCATGATGAGGATGATGCCGATTCTGATGATGCTGATGATGATGCTGATGATGAGGGTAATGGCTATGACCAGGATGAAGAGGAAGTTCTGATGGTGATGGTCATTTTTAACTGATAAAGGTGCGGCTGTTGCTGCTGCGGATGATGATGATGATGATGATGATGATGATGCTGATGCTGATGATGGTGATGATGCCGATGACGCTGATGCTGCTAATGATGATGACGATGAAGATGATGATGATGCTGGTGGTGGCGATGGTCGATGGTCATGATGATGCTGATGATGCTGATGATGCCCATGATGATACAGATGCTTGCGATGACGATGGCGACGACGATGACCACCATGATGCAGTTTCTGCTGATCACTTTGTCGACGATGATGCTGATACCTACGAGGGTGGTGATGCTGTTTAGGGGTGAGGGCTACAACGATGACGACGTTGCTGCTAATGATGATGATGATTATGCTGATGGTGGTGATGACGATGATTATGATGGTGGTGATTGTGATGATAGTTGTGATTGTGGTGATGATGATGGTGAGGGTGATGGAGATGATTCTTATGGTTCTGTTGACGATTGACGATGGGGATGCTCTAGATGATTCTGCCGATGATTATGATCATGATCATGATGACGGCGATGATGACGACGACCATGCTGATGCTGCTGCTGAGGATGCTAATGCTGATATTGTTGATGTCGATGCTGACCTTGATGACGATGATGCTCACGATGATGCTGATGATGACGAGAGTGGAGATTATGATGAGGGATGAGGGCGACGGGGATGCCAACGTGGATGATGACGATGATGACGATGATGACGATCATGATGGTGATGATGCTGATGATGATGATCACCAGGCTGATTATGATAATGATGATGGCGATCATGATGCTGATGGTCGTGACGATCGTGATACGGAAGATTATGTTGATGATGATGATGATGCTGATGCGGATGATGCTGCTGATGATGATCATGATGATGATGATAAGGAGGAGGAGGAGGAGGAGGAGGAGGAGGAGGAGGAGGAGGAGGAGGAGGAGGATGATGATGATGATGATGATGATGATGATGATGATGACAATGATTCGGATGAGCGCCAGCACGTACGGACCTTAGGAGAGGAAGGCATTGTAAGGTATGATGGCCAAGGACGCCATCACCCAAGGTGGGAGACGGCCTGCGTTGGAGCCGCCGCCAATGGGGCCCACCACGTAGGAACCGCCGCCACTGGAAGCCGCGAGTGCAGAAGCTCCCGCGTAGTAGCCGCCGCCAGTAGGTCAGTGGGAGCGCCTGCGTAGGAACCGCCGCCAGAAGAAGCGGTCTGCGTGGGGGCCGCTTGTGGAGGAGCCGCCGCCACTGGGGGCCGCCAGTGGGAGCCGCGTGCGTCGGGGCCGCCTGCTTATATAAGAGCTGCCGCCAGTTGGAACCACCAGTGTGAGCCGCGTGCGTTGGGACCGCCTGCTTAAGAGCTGCCGCCAGTTGGAAACACCAGTGGGAGCCGCTTGCTGGGGGCCGCCATCGGAGCCGCTAGTGGGATCCGCCTGTGTTGGAACCGCCGTAGGAGCCGCCGTCAGTGAGAGCCGCCAGTGGGAGCTGCCGTAGGAGCCGCCGCCAATGAGAGCCGTCGCCAGTTGCCGATTCAGTGGGAACCGCCGTCTGTAGGAACTGCCAGTGAGCGCCGCCAGTATGAGTCGCCGCCAGTGTGAGCCAGCCGCTGGTAGGTGGATGCTGCCGGAGCCGAGCGTGGCAAGATCTTCTTGTTGGGGGTCTTGGAAACGTGAATTTTGAAGTTGATGACCATCTCGAAGCAGAAGAAGACCACTAGGTAGATATGCGACGCTTCCAGAGTAGAAGTGGTTTCTGCACCCAAGACCATAACCCAAGTTGAACACGCGGAGAGAGGACGACAACGTAGTGACTGGTATCAGAGGGTAGGCCTGGCGCCGAGGCCGCCTGGCGTCGAGGCCGCCAGCGTACGAGGGATACCTGGAGACCAAGTGGAAGATGGGGATGTCGGTGAACCGCTGCACTGCTGTTACCGAGGAGCTGGACCATGGGGCAGGACGATGATAATTTCTGGGCGCACGGTTGTGAATATACAGTCAACATGCTACACGGCTGGGCTCTGACGTGGTAGAGCGTGACAAGGCTCGCAGAGATTGGCCACGCCCCCAGCTCAGCTTGTCACGGAGTGCTGCACCCGCCGCGTGTGATTGCCCGGCTGAGGCGACGCGGTAGCTAGCCGCGCCAGCACATACGGGCCCGATGACAGGACGGCATTGAAAACGATGGTAATGATGATGATGCTGCTGGTGCTGATGATGATGAGGAGGATGATGATGATGATGATGATGATGATGATGATGATGATGATGATGATGATGATGATAACAGTGATGATGATGAGGATGATGATGATAACGATGATGATGAGGATGATGATGATAACGATGATGATGATGATGATGATGATGATGATGATGATGATGATGATGATGATGATAAGGAGGAGGATGATGATGATGATGATGATGATGATGCTGATGATGATGATGGTGATGAGGATGAGGATGATGAAGATGCTGATGATGAGGATGAGGATGAGGATGATGATTGTGGTGGTGGTGATGATGCTGATGATGCTGATGATGCTGATGATGCTGCTGATGATGGCGATGATGTTGATGATAAGGATGATGACGATGATGAGGTTGAAGGCGATGATGGCGATGGTGAGGTTGGTGATGATGACGAGGACGATGAAGACAATGATGCGTAGAAGGAGGGATCGGAGGATGACCAGGAGGAGAAGGAGGAGTCGGCGGAGGAGTAGGTTGAGGAGGAGGGGGATGAGCAGGAGGAGGACGATGGGGGATAGATGATCAATCTGACAATGACGATGAATATTATCATAAAGATGAAGATGAGTATGATGATGGTGATGAGGATGATGATGACAATAAAAATATTCATGATGATGATGCTGATGTGTACGTTGAATAAGAGGAAAAAGAGGATAAATGATACTGATGCGGGTACGGACGATGGCAATTATGACGGTGATGTTGATGGTGATGGTGATGATGATTCAGATGCTCCCGATTATGGAGATGCTGCTGCTGCCGCTGCTGCTGATGATTGTGATGCTGATAAGGGTGCTGATGTTGATGATGATGACGGTAACGATGGTGGTGGTCGTGGTGGTGGAGGGGAAGGTGAAGGTTAAGGTGAAGGTGATGGTGATGGTGGTGATGATGTTGCATTCGATGATGATGGTGATGGCAATGATGATGCTGATGATGATGATGACGCTGATGATAATGATGACGATGATGATGATGCTGATCATGATGACGATGATCATGACGACGATGATGATGATGATGATGATGATGATGATGATGATGATGATGATGATGATGATGATGCAGATGATGATGATGTATACGTTTGTTGTGAAGATGATGGCAATGACGATGATGATGACGATGCTGATGCTGCTGATGATGACTAGGCTGATTATGATGCTGCTGCTGATGATGATAATTGTGATGGTGCTGCTGATGACGATGGTGATGATGATGATGCTGATTATGATGATGATGACGATGATTCTGATTAGTATTGATGATGTTTGTGGTGATGACGATGAGGGTGATGAGTATTGATAATGCTGATGATGACACTTCTGATGATGATGCTGATGCTGATGACGACGACGATGCTGATGACGATAACGATGATTGCGATGATGATGATGATGCTGCTGATGTTGATGCTGATGCTGCTGATAATGATGATGATGCTTGTGATGGTGATGGTGGTAATGATGATGCTGATGATGATACTGATGATGATGATGCTGATGATGATGATTATGATGCTGATGATGATGATGATGATGATGATGATGATGATGGTGATGAGGATGATGATGACGACGATGCTGATGATGAGGATGATTCTGATGATAGTGATGCTGATGATGATGATTGTGATGTTGGTGATGCTGATGATGATGATGATGATGATGATGATGATGATGATGATGATGACGATGCTGATGAGGATGCTGCTGCTGATGATGATTCTGATGGTCAGGATGATTCGTATTCTTATTGTTTCTGTTATTTTCATAACTATTCATTTTACCATTATCGGATTATTCCCTACCTAGGCTCTGCCTAGAGGGTTCTTACTTTGTTTGCTTAAAGGGGCTGGGCAGTGTAGGCCGCCCCGGGCGGTTTCCCCAGTCCCCTGGGAGCGGTTCCCCCAGTCCCCTGGGAGCTTCAGTTTTAGCTTTAGCTTTAGCTTTAGCTTAGCTTTAGCTTAGCTTTAGCTTAGCTTTAGCTTAGCTTTAGCTTAGCTTTAGCTTTAGCTTTAGCTTTAGCTTAGCTTTAGCTTAGCTTTAGCTTAGCTTTAGCTTAGCTTTAGCTTAGCTTTAGCTTAATTTTAGCTTAGCTTTAGCTGAAACTTAGCTTAGCTTTAGCTTAGCTTATGCTTGGCTTTAGCTTAGCTTTAGCTTAGCTTTAGCTTAGCTTTAGCTTGGCTTTAGCTTAGCTTTGACTTAGCTGTACTGTTACTACTAATGCTGCTTTCCTAGGGGCTCCAACTCTTAGGTAGGGTCGCGCTGGGATATTATCATTATTCTTATTATCATCATTCGTATCATTAATATTATCATTGTTATTGGGGTGATCATGCTGCTGCTGCTGCTGATGATGATGATGATGATGATGATGATGGTGATGATCAATGATGACGATGAGGAGGAGGCGGAGGAGGAGGTGGAGGAGGAGGAGGAGGAGAAAAGAGCAGGAGGAGGAGGAGGAGGAGGAGGAGGAGGAGGAGGAGGAGGAGCGGGGAGGAGGGGCAGGACGAGGAGGCCGTTGTCGTCGTCGTCGTCGTCGTCCTCGTCGTCGTCGTCGTCGTCGTCGTCGTCGTCGTCGTCGTCGTCGTCGTCGTCTGCGTGCGGAGGTTGACCGGCGCCCCAAGTGGGAGGAGACGAGCGCCCCGCCCGGCGCGGACGACGGGCCCGGCGACCTGACGGCGAGGCACGAGAGGGTCAAGCACCAGATCCGCTCGCTGAAGGCCCGCCAGGGGAGGCGGTGAGGCTTCGGGCTGCGCGTGGACAGTCCCTCCCTGGATTGCACGCCTTGGCTCAGACGCCCTGGGTCGCTGCTGCCTGCCGCCTGATCGTGGCCTCGCGCGCGCCCGTCCCTTTGTCGCGGCCGCAGCCCGACCGTGACCGCCCGCCGCTGGCGCTTCCGCCTGCGGCTGTTTAAAACAAAAAGTGGACAGTCCCCTTCCAAAAGTTGCCCCCGCGGGCATCAGCAGGCCCCCCGAGCATCCCCAGCTGGCCTCAATAGGCCCCCCGAGTATCCCCAGCTGGCCTTCACAGGCCCCCCGAGGGCATCGGCAGGCCCCCCGAGCATCCCCAGCTGGCCTTAAGAGGCCCCCCGAGTAGCCCAGGGCGGTCTCAACAGCCCGGCGCCGCTTCGGCCACCCTGGACTACTCGGGGGGCCTGTTGAGGCAGGCTACGGCGGCCACCTGGGGGACTGTCTGCGCACAATCGGAAGCTTTACCAGGGGAGGTCTTCGGCGGCTTTCGGTGGGCCTCGGTGGGGGGGGCGAGAGGATTTCGAGGCTCGGTGCCTTCGGACTATTCCGTTGGGCCTCGGCTGTTTTCCGGCCTCGGGGTGCTCTCCAGCAGCTGCCTCGCCGAGAGCGCCGCGTGGGCTGCCCGAATCGTCCTGGACTGCCGGCAGAGGCCCGCGGGAGGACCTGAGAAGCAGGCGGCGAGTTTCGGGCGGGACGCACGTGCAGTCGGGCCGCTGACTCCAGACGGGCGCAGAGCACGGGGACACCCTCTTGCGAGCTGGTCCGATCCATTTCCGCTGAGCCCGTAAGGGCACGCGGCCGCGCGCGCGGCCCGTAGTCAGCGTTCGTTCGTTCGTTCGTTCGTGTCTTTTCGAAAGGGGCTCGGGCGTTCTTTCGGTTTGCATGCGTTCCGCCCTTCCTTCTGTGGTCGGCGAGCCCACCCCCCCGGGTGCCCCTTCGGACGTCGGGGGCTTCTCTGGAAATTCTTTACGCTTCGCGTATCCCCACCAGCCCATCTCACAACAGCAACTCTTGCGAAGCATGCCGACAGTCGTGTTTTTCAGGCGTGTGTCCGCTTGGCCCCGCATATCTCCCCTGTTACTCCTTCCTCCCGCCTCCTTGTACATCCTCCTTGTGGGGGGAGCGGGAGAAGGACGAGGCGGAGGAGGAGGGAGAGAAAGCGCTCCTCGTGTTTGAGTCGTTTGGGGTTTCTCGTCCTGGTGTGAGTCGTTCGGGCCCTTCTTCCTGGTGTGAGTCGTTCGGGCTCTTCGTGGTGTGAGTCGTTCGGGCTCTTCGTCCTGGTGTGAGTCGTTCGGGCTTCTCGTGGTGTGAGTTGTTCGGGCCCCTCGTCCTGGTGTGAGTCGTTCGGGCCCCTCCTCCTGGTGTGACTCGTTCGGGCTCCTCGTGGTGTGAGTCGTTCGGGGCCCTCGTCGTGGTGTGAGTCGTTCGGGCTCCTCGTGGTGTGAGTCGTTCGGGCGCCTCGTCCTGGTGTGAGTCGTTCGGGCCCCTCCTTCTGGTGTGAGTCGTTCGGGCTCTTCGTGGTGTGAGTCGTTCGGGCCCCTCGTCCTGGTGTGAGTCGTTCGGGCTCCTCGTGGTGTGAGGCGTTCGGGCACCTCGTCCCCTTTTGGGGCGTCTTGGGGGCCTCTTGGCGGCCCCAGGGGCTTCTAGGAGCGTCTTGGGTGCCTTGGGGGAGCCTCTTCGGGCCTCTTGGGAGCCTCTTGGAGGCCGTTTGGGGCGTCTTGGGGGCCTCTTGGCGGCCCCAGGGGCTTCCAGGAGCGTCTTGGGTGCCTCGGGGGAGCCTCTTGGGGCCTCTTGGGGGCCTCTTGGGGGCATCTTGGGGGCCTCTTGGAGGCCTCTGGGGGGCCTCCTGGGGACCTCTTGGGGCCATCCTGGGGCCTCTTGGTGCCTCCTGGGCGCTTCTTGGGGCCATCTTGGAGGGAATGGATCAAAGAAGAGGGGAGCTTTAATGAGCGCTGCCCCCTCAGAAGGGCAAAATGAGCCCAAAACCTTCGTGAAATCAATGATTTTGCCTTGAAGGAAGAGGAGAACTTTAATGAGCGCTGCCCCCACCAGAAGGCCACAATGGGACCAAAACCGTAGTAACATCAATGATTTTGGCTTCACAGAAGAGGAGAGGGTTTTTTCTCCCTCCCCCCGTCGGGGCCAGAATCCTCGTGAGGGTCGTCGTTTTTTTAGCCCTCCCAGGAGTCGAAAATGACCCCCCCAACGACCCGCGGAGGGACCTCTCCAGGCCCAGGGGAGGGGGTAGGGGGAGGGGTAAACCCCTCCCCGAAGGGGAAGAAGGGGGGTTGAGAACAGAGCGGGCTCTCTAAACCACTCACGCCCACAGGGCTGGTGGGATAAGGGGCCTCGTTCCTCGGGTCAGCGGCCCGACTGGGAGGGGTACTTCGCGGAAGAGCTCTCGAATGCTTTCGGCAGCCTTCGTATGACTGGGTGGGTCTCGGAAGGTCTGGCAGGTACTGCCGAGGTGCTCGGAGGTGTCTCGCGGGAGGCCCTTGGTGGGAGTGGGGTGGCCCAGAGGGTCGCTAGGCTCAAAGTTCAAGTTCTCGGGCAAGCAATGGAGTTCCTAGGCGAAAGCGAAATCGGCCTGGGAGCTCAACGGGCAGTGGGGACGGAGCGTGGGGTGGGAGGAGGATGAGGGAGGAAAGCGCAAAGAAGAGAAGGGAGATGAAGCAGGCAGTCACGGAGAGGCGGTTGGGATCGTTTCTCCGCCCTCCTCCTCCTCTTCGTCTTTGTCCTTGTCCATGTTCTCGTCCTTGTCCTTGTTGTTGTCGTCGTCCTTCTCCACCCCCTCCTCCTCCTCCTCCTCCTCCTCCTCCTCCTTCTCCTTGTCACCCTCTTCATCGGTTGAAAGTCCTGCGCGGTGTCCAGTTTTGCCAGCACTGTGGTGCCCATGCAAGGGTGGATGTTTGGAGTCTTGCCCGACCTTGCAGGCGGACCGTCCTCCCTCTGAGGCAGGGAAGGAGGTCATTTCCTGAAGCTGATGAGGGGGCTCCCCCCCCCCCAAAAGCGGCGGTACGTTCCCGAAGGCTTGACTTTTTGGGCTGTAGCGTTCCCAGGCTTGACCTGGTCTTCACTGGTTAGCAGACCCGCTCCTCTTCCCCCTCCTCCCCCTCCTCCTCTCCTCCGCCTCCTCTCCTCCTCCTCCTCCTCCTCCTCCTCCTCCTCTTCCTCCTCCTCCTCCTCCTCCTCCTCCTCCTCTTCTCCTCTCCTGTTGGGGTTGACAAGCTGTCCAGGTGCATTGGATGTATGAGAAGGGGGAGTGGTAGAAGAATGGGGAACATCGTTGGGAGGTGAAGCAGCATGAGCAGGAGCAGGAGGGAGGAGAGACAGCCAGGCAGATGATGATGATGATGATGATGATGATGATGATGATGATGATGATGATGATGATGATGGTGATGATGTTGATGAAGATGCTGTTGATGATGATGGTGATGCCCTTCATGACGTTGATGCGATGACGATGCTGCTGATGCTGACGATCATGCTGATGATGATGAAGATGATGTTGATGATGCTGATGATGATAACTCAAATGATGGTGATGCTGATGGTGATCATGGCGCCATGAAGGCTTTGGTGATTATCATGATGATGCTAATGCTGCTGACGATTCTGCTATTGATGATGCTGTGGCTGATGCTAACGATCAGGGTGATGTCGATCATCATTCTGATGATTATGGTGATGACGCTGCTGCTGCTAATGATTTTGCGATGATGATGCTGCTGATGCTGAGGATGATGATGATGATGATGTTGGTGATGCTGACGATGCTGATGGCAAATCTGATGATTATTAGTGTGGTGATGATGATGATGGTGCTGACGCCGCACTCAATGATGATGCTGCTGCTGATGGTGCTGCTGCTGCTGATGATTATGCTGATGCTGATAACGCTGACGATGATGCTGCTGTGGTTGCGGCTGGTGGTGATCATGCCAATGCTGACGACGCTGATGATGATGCTGACGATGATGCTGCTGATGCTGCTGATGATGATGATAATGCTGATGCTGATGATGATGAGGAGGAGGAGGAGGGGACGGAGGAGGATGAGGAGGATGATGAGGAGGATATCACGGAAGCGTAGACTGATGAGAAGGAGGGTTCTGCTGATGAGGATGATGCTGCTGATTTTGCTGAGATTGGTGACGACGATGATGATGTCGATGCTGATGATACCGGTAATGATGATGACGGTGCTGCTGCTGATGATTATGATGCTGTTGCTGATGATGATGATGCCGATGATTATGTTGATGCCGATAGGATGATGGCGTTGGTGATGTGGATGATGAAGATGCTGATTAGATGATGATGGTGATGATGCTGCTTACGATGCTGATTGTGCTGGCGATGGTTCTGCTCATGATGATGATGACGATAACGAGGACGATGACGAAGATGATGATAATCATGATGATGCTGATGATGCTGCTGACGATGCTGATGCTGCTGATGATGATGCGAATGATCTTGATGCCGATGATGATGATGATGCTGAAGCTGCTGATGATTATGATGCTGATGATAACGCTTACGATGCTGATGCTGGTGCCGCTGATGATGATGACGATGGTGGTGACGATGCTGATGATGATGGTGGCCATTATGACTCTGACGGTGATGATTCTGATGATGATGATGCTGCTTCTGGTGATGATTATGCTTATGATGCTGATGATCATGTTGACGATGATGATGCTGATGCTGTTGTTGTTGATGCTGACGATGGCATGGCGATGCTGATGATGGTGAGGATGCTGATGCTGACGATGCTGACGATGCGGATGATGTCGATGATGGTGATGATGATGCTGCTGCTGATGATGCTGATGATGATGACAATGACACTGATGATGACACTACTGATGATGACGATGCTGGCGATGATGATGCGGCTTATGATGTTGATGATGACGAAGATGCTGATGGTGCTGATGATGATGATGGTGATGATGATG